TCCCTGTGCCCTCACCAACTTCACCCACTCTCACTGGGCTGTCTCCTAATTGGAGGGTTCACCTTTTTTGGTTAATGATCCTTACCTGAGGATATTTTTGGATATTTTTGCATTTACCTTCAGATAGAGTCGGGGGAGGGGAGAGAGAGAAACATCGATGTGAGAGACACACATCAACTGGTTGCCTCCCGCACGACCCTGACCAGGGCCAGGGGCCGAACTGCAACTGAGGAACGTGCCCTTGACCGGAATCGAACCCTTGACTCTGGTCTGCGGGCCGGCGCTCTAACCCGGAGCACACTGGCCAGTGCAGAGGGACTCACCTTCTGTTCGACCCTGACCCTGGCCCTGAGCCTCACCCTGGAACCCGCGTCCTAGGGAAGCAGAGCTGTTGGTTTACACACATCTGCTCCCTCCTGCTGAGTCCGGGCACTGCCCCCACCCGGTGGCCAGGCCAAGCCTGGGGTCCTAAGCAGTCCCCGTGGTCCCCACCTTGCCCCCGCCCCACATCCAGACCCTTAGCAGCCTGTACCCCTCCCCGTCAGGGGCGGACGCCTGCACACAGGCAAATGAGTCCCCAGCACTCAGGATGGGATGGAGACCTCCCCAGGAGTGGAAACTTGAGTTGTCTCAGGGTGAGCAAGAGCCAGGCTTGAAGCTGGGAGTGTCCAGCCGGGCCCGGGGATGGCCAAGCTTTGCGTAAAAACGCGCCTGTGGGCAGTGAAGGGTCAGGGACAGGGACAGGGGGTAAGGCAAGAGGACTTGTCCTAGACAGCCCCCCACCCCTCCCCACCCCTGGCCTGGACTGAGCTGCTGACCCTCCTCACTGAGAGGTGGGTTCCTGGTCCTCCCTCCACCTTCCCCCACCCCTCCCACAAGGTCTCCCTAACTAGGTGGTGAGGAGTCCATAGCTCAAGGGCCCCAGGGTCCCACCCCCTACGTAGTCGGGGATTGTGTTGGGGACAGGCCAGGACTCCCCAGACTTGATCCTACCCCTATCCCACTGGTCTCCCCCCAGGTTTCTGTCCTGAGTGGGTCTGGGGTGAAGTAGGGATAGAGGGAAGGTTGGAGGAGGAAGGTGAGGGGGAGGGGAGGAGAAAGGAGGAGGAGGAGAAGGGAGGGGGGAGGAGCTCAGGGAAGGGAGGGACGAGAGGGGGAGGGGAAAGCATCCCCGGGAAGGCCCCTCCCTAGCTCACTTGTCAGTTCCTCAGCTGAGGGGCTGTCTTCTCTTCCCCACCTGCAGGCGGGGCTCATTGTCTGGCTAGCCCCATTGTGTGGGGCCGGGAGCCTCATTGGCAAAGCATTAATTTGTGGCTGTCTGTGCTCTGCTCTGATTGGCTGCACGAGAAGGGGGCTCTCCAGGGCCCTAGGACACAGAAGTTTGCGCAGCAACTTTTTCCAGCATGAAGTGACTGTGTGTCCAGGGTCCAGGCTTCCGAGTAGAGGTCACCCGCCCAGCCAGGATGACGCTCTGTGGGACCTTCCTGGGTGCGTACTTTCCCCGACGCCCGCACTCCTCCCCGGGCCTGTTCATGTTGCTGCCAAGAGCAAGCAGGCTAATTAGCTGTGTCCCCTGTCAGCACTCAGTGCTCTTTCTGGGGAGGAGAAGGTGCCAGACAGGCGCCTTCGTGAGAGGCCCCTGGAACCAGCACCTCCTCCAGCTGACAGGACTCGCAGAGCTGTCAAGGCCACGGCTCTGGGCTGGCCTGGGAGGTTGCAGGTGGGGTGGCAGCCAGGGAGGGTGTGGGTGCGGGGGTGCCGGGCTCGGGAGACGAGGGGGTGGAGAGAAGGTGCACGTCTGTGCGTGTGGCCGGAGGGGCCCCTGGGCCTGCTGCTGGCATTTCCATGCCGAGTTCCCGTGTGAGCCTTTAACACAGAGCGGGAGCCAGAGTTGGTGTGTGAGCCCCACAGATCCCCCCAAACTTGTGTGTTTGTGTGCGTGTGTGTGTTCACACAGTGTCAGAGGGCTGGTGTGTTTGAGGTCTCAGTGTGAAGCAGTCTCACAACATGGCCCCGAGCGTGTGCGTGTGCGTGAGACAGGCACATGGAGTCAGCCCGGGTGTTGGGGAGAGAGGCTCTGGGTTTTGTTTGCTCCATCTGCCAGCGCCTGCCTGGGGCCGTGCCCCCCCCCGCCGCCCTCAGCTGTTCATATACAATATTAATGCTGACCACCTCGGCTCCGCACACAAGGGCCCTAATTGTCGTCTGCAGCTTTAAGACGGGCGCCCATCTGCAGGGAAGCTTTTCAGAAAAAAACAAGAAAGCCCTCACCCCCAGCTGGTCACCGGAGAAGGTGGTGCCAATTACAGATGCAGAAAAGTTTAGACCAAAATTGCTTGAAAGAGTTTTTATGAAGCAAATGAACAGACACTTGGACTGTCTGTGGGCAGATTTGCACAAGGAATCACCCTGTATTTGAAATGCTCTCTCCAGCTGAGCGGTCCTCAAGCCTGTTTCCCAGCGAGGGCTTCAGCCACCAGTTTGGTTTTGCAGTTTTCCTCCCCTTCTGGGGCTGGGGACCCCCAGCCAGACAGGTTTTTCCTGTGGGTGTTTCCAAACTTAACAGTCCCACGCGACTTCCCTGTAGCGCTGAAAGGAGCAATCTGCTCGGGGCTTAGTTATGGAAGAAGAAGTATCTTATGAGCGGTTTCCACCTGGGTAAGAAAGTTTCCGGTTGCACCTGCTGTTGTCGCTCCCAAGCAGGCCCGGCACCCTCGGTTGGAAGCGCCGCTGCTGCGGGTCCTGAGACGGTTCCGAGAACAAAGGCCGGGCGTGCGGCGCTGTCCAGAGTGCTGACCAGACCGCGGGCGCGGGGAAGCCGCCCAACCCCAGGAGCTGCCCGTGAAGCCCCTGCCCCGCTCCCGTCCTGTGTGCCCTCCTTTGTTCTCCTGACCATTCAGCTCAAGATCCTGAACCTGTGCTCATCAAAACCTATCTTCTGAGGCAGCTCCGGGGCTGCTCTGCCGGCTCTTGGCCCGGGCAGCGGACACGTTCGAAGGCCTGTTCCCGACACAGAGCTGCACAGCTCAGGAGGGGTGTGTGGAAAGCTGAGACCTAGGTTTGCACAGATATAATTTCCGTTACCTGAACAAATAATTATGCTGCTCCAGGGCTTTTGTTGCACAAATCGATGTCTCCCTGTTGTTGCCTCTGCCGGCTGTTGTTTCCCAAGTTTGACGGTTACACGTCTGAATCAAGGGCTTCCCGAGACGGTGGGCATTGTTGGGGAATCGGCTGATTCAGCACCGGCCCTCCCTTTGAGCCTATCTCCACGGTGAACAATGGCGCAGGGCTGCCTGAGCCTGCAGCCTGCCGATAAGAGTTTAATAGAATCTCTGAATGCCAAAGGTTTGGATGTAAAATATCCCAGCACTCACAGCGTGTCCAGAGGAGACAGAAAATGGCTTTTCAGGAGAGCTCTCAGCTGACTATGTCCTTCTATGCTAATGGACATGAGCTTTGGAGAGAATAAAAACAATGGTAGGCAGTCATTGTGGGAGCCTCAAAGGACTCTCGTTTGGCTAATTAATATTTCATCCTCAGTTTGACCAGTGAAGGTGTGCATTCCTTCTGCTCAGTCTGAAAGATTGCCCTCAGTATACTGCGTATTTTATTTGATGAGAATAATGTGCGTGTATAAGAGCTGGACGTACCTGCTTTAGAATGAAGCTTGTTGGTTTGCCTACAGACAGAACACTGCATGGTGAAAATAATTGCCCGTGAAAGAGTTTTAGCTGATTTTCAACGCGTGCGTTTTTTAGAGGATGCTAACTGTTCCAAGTCTGTCTCACTCATACTTCTGGTGGCCTGAGCCCTTTAGGGCTCATTAAGTTGAGGTCAGTGTGTTTCTGAATAACTTACAAGAAATGCTATTTGCTGCCATGAAATCTCAGCGCTGAACTTCTGAGCCGTGGGTTCACGGGCGTACACGCTGGTCTGGACGGCATCCTCGGAAGGTGTGTGAAATTCATAGGACAGTTCCTAGCAACCTGATTATGATAACGGACAGCTGCCTGCCTGATTCATCAGCAAGAAAAGGGAATTTGAGTAGGAACCAAGAATACCTTGGCTCCTGGGCACCGAGGAAATTCCTTAGTTTACCTCAAATGTGGAAAAAAGTCACAAAGTGACAGACTGAGAAAGCAGACAACTGGGTTGCCTAAAGAGTGGGTGGGCACTTCTATTGTGTGTGTTATTGATTTTCCTCCTCTTGATTTTCATTGGATAGCTCCTTGCAGGCAGTTTTAAAAAGACTCAAAAAGATAGAGCAGAGAACTTGAGCGCTGTGCTTCCCTCTGGCTGGGATAAACTTACCATGTTGGGGCTTCAGGATGTACCCACGTTCTCTTTGAGGGGATTTTATTACTTTTTACACAGCAACCGGGGGTTTTACACAGAAAGAGAACATGCGATGAAAAAAAAAAGTGTGTTTTCCTGATCGATCCTTTGTGTGTATGAGTTAATTTTTTGGTCGGTGGCCATAGGTACTATTTATGCATTTCAAAAATATACACACATATCCATCTGAGTCCTCAATACTTGCATATGCAGATGGGCCCATAAGCAGCCCTCCTGGTTCATCTGAGTGATAAATTCTGCTGTCCGTTCTTTATGATGGTAGGTCATATTCTTAACCACCAATAAATATTGTAAAGTACTTTCTCTGCAGCCGTGCTAACCCAGGGCATCTGTCATTCCGGTTGCTGCTATTAGGAATTATTGGACTGAACCACTGGTGGAGAAAGCAGAGGGGTGAGCACGGCAGTTGTGCCGCTCTCTGCCCTTTTGTGTATTTTGCATAAAAATAACCTAATCATGCTGCATATTAATTATAAATCAGTGTGGGCAAATGCGGGCACCTTGGGCTGGCAGAGGCTTGAAGCCAGAGCCGGGGGCTCTGCCGGCCGGGCACCTCGGTTCCCAGGTCAGCAGATCCATCTTGCTGATGCTATACTGTAAATTTATTTCACCTCGGAGAGTAAACAGATATATTGGAGCCCCAAGGGTTCATGGGTAGCGTATTTACAAAGGAGCCTCTCTGCCAGCCCGTGCCACCGCTGCTAATGAGAGCGGTCATTAAGTAAATGAGATGTCGCCTTTAGCTGGCTTAGGAGTTCGCACACTGAGGGGAGAAGATATTTAATTGAAACCCGCACCCAGGCTTCCCCACATGTGACGCGTAGGAGGCAGCTGCCGGCCCCTCCTCCCCCGTCCACCCTGCACCCCCCCATGTAAATTTCATGATTGCTTTCCGTGATGTCATTTTGAAAGAGGACAGACAATAGCTGTGGGGAAAGGTAAGTCAATGTTACGTTCTTTCGCTGACAAAGGCAGATGCGGGTGTTTGGCTTCTCCCCTGGCCGGGGACAGGGAGCGGGTGCAGCTGATTGCTGAGATGAAGGCGTGCTCCGCGGGGAGAGCAGGTCTGGGGAAGGCGCTCTAGAGCTGCTCGGCTGGACCGAGGCTTTCTTCTCCCGGGTCTGCCCTGGCGGTTCCCTCCTCTCTCGGTCCCTCCGCGGCTTGCTGACGCGCGTGGCCTCTCTGAGTCGAGCGGACACATTGTGCGTCCTGCCAGAAGAGACGTTGGGGGGACCTTGTATCAAGACGAGAAACTTTATGTGCGTTTCTGGAAGACGAACAGAGATACACCTGCAGCTGTGGGATCAGGCGGCTGGGACCTGGCAAAGGCTGGCTCCTTAAGCAGAAGACCTCTCTGGGACCGGGACTCAGTCCGGACCTCATGTGTGGCCCCCACCCAAGACTCGGAGTGGAGATGGTCATGTGAGCATTTTGTCTTTGCATGTCACGTATTTCTAAAGTTAGGGGACGGCGTCTAGGTGCGTGTGTCTGTGGGGTGGGTGTGCAGGACTGAGCAGCCGTTCCTCTCGGATCCCGTCTCCAGATGTGACCTGGTCCCGAGAGCCGTTGTTTTTGTTTCCGTGGAACCGGGCTTGCGTATTTAAAACTAGAAATCATGGTTGGCCAAGCAGTTGGTGTGCCGTGAGCAACGCTGTGCCTGCAGGGTGGTGCATCTGGGCCGTGGACTTTGTTCTGTCCCCCGGATTCACTTTCTTCTTTGTGAACCCGGAAAATAGACCAGCTCGGTGACTCTCGCCTGTGGGGGCCTCACATGGGAGCCCCCGCCTTCCCCTGTCCCCAGCCTCCTCTTGTCTCAGCATCCATGTCGTCCATGGGCATCACTGGCCGGTCAAGTTTGTTTTTTTCCTTGAACAAAACATCTGCAAGGGGCTCCGGTGGCAGGGAGTGGGCTCAGCCGCAGGCCCTCGGACGGTTCCTATGATGGCAACAATGACATCGATTATTATCATCATCCTCATGGGAGGGGGAGGTGGAGAATTTGCCTTTGTGGTTAAAATAAAAAGTCAGAGGAAGCTGCGAAGATCTCTGAGGATAGTGGCTGAGTGAGCAGAAGGCTGGCGGGTGCCGGGCAAAGCCAAGGAGCTGAGCCTCAGCGAGGGGTGAAGGGTGTGCTTGCTCTGGCCCTGCAGGGGGGTCCTCACCACCAGGGCACCCCTCCCATTGGTCCTTGGCTGCGATTGTCACCTCCTCCCATATGCTCCTTTAATTCATGGTAAACAGGAGTGGAGAGCAGGGATTGGAGTTTGTGGTGCCAGCAAGGACGTGCCACCCACAGGGCAGGACCTGCCTGGCTTCTCAGAATTGCTCACTGTGCAGAGGAGGCTGGGCAGGGCTCAGGGGCAGCTTGTTGGCCGAGAGGGGCAGCTGCATGAGCCCTCTGCCCCTGAGCTGGAGCCCGAGCTCCTACGGCATCCCTGCCCCCGGGCAGCGTGCGTCTCCCCCGGCCTTGGGGAGGTCTTTCCATCCTGCAACCACCTGGGTTCGAGCTGCCTCAGACCACAGGGCCCAGATGTGGGCCTGGGAGGTCGTGCAGGTCAGAGAGCCGCTTCTGACCCGGGGCCTGTGGGGACTGGGGATTGCTCTGGTCCAGAGGCAGCAAAGGACTTGGAGCCAATACTCTTCTTGGAAGATTCTCGCAAAGGGAGAGCCACCTCTGGTCTCTCCGGCCGGCGGACCTGGTTAGAGGTGACCCCACGTGGCAGGCAGGCCCTGGGCTGAGGTGGCTCTGTCCCAGGAGTCACAGCAGCTGCTGCTGCCCTGTCAGGGCTCGGAGACGCCAGAGTGTGCTCTCCCTGACCCAGAGTGGTGCTGGTTCTGGCTGGTTCTGACGGGAGCGTGGCTGGGCTATTTTGGGCGCTCTCCCTGGTGCTGCCCAGAGCCAGGGCCCCTCCTTTTTCCTGCTGCCCTCCTTCGGCCTGGAGTCACCAATGTGCCCACAAGGACATGGTGACTCTGTGAGTGCGGGGGAGGGGCGGGAGCCTGGTGAGCGCAGGCGGCAGGGGACGAGCCGGCCTCCCTCGTGTGGGCCACACCTGGGATGGCAGCAGGACAACGTGTCTGCGGGCAGAGGACGCACCAGAGAGGCCCCTGCCTCCCGTAGCTGCCCCGATGGCGCTGGGCACACTGGCGGGGCCGAGACCTCCTGCGTGGACTCCGTGCGCCCAAGCCCTCGCCTGGGCAAACACCCGATCAGCATGCCGCCTGCTGGCCCTGAGTGATGGAGTGACTGGCCCGGGGGCGGGGGCGCCGCTGGTCACCTGATCCTCGGGCAGGCAGGGCACTGGGCAGCAGTCAGGTGCACGTCAGTCACCCAGTCTGGGAAGAGCAGCACCGCGCCTGCCCAGGCCCTGGAGGGCCCGGCCCAGGTCCCCCTCCTTGGCTTTCCTCCTGGGCGGAGAGTCAGCTGGCGGGCACCCCTCCCGCGGCTCCCGGATCCTACGCACTTTCCCTGAGAACTCACTCCTTAACAGCCCAGAGCCGAGTGTCTGCAGATGTAATTTTAACGGGAATTTTGTGGGGAGGGTTTACAGGAAAACGTCTTTGGGAGCATCTTTGGTTCGTCAGCCCCAAACGCTGTTGTCCAGCGGCTTTCTGCTCCCAGAGACCCTGCCGCCCATTCTCTCGGGACCCTCCCGGGCAGCCCAGCCCAGCGTGCTGCTGCGGTTCTCTGAGCACTTCCTGTCTTTCACGGACACTGAATTTCTCCCAATGTTGCTTTAAAACCTCAAAACAAACGAGAGAGAGAGAGAGAGAGAGAGAGAGAGAGAGAGAGAGAGAGAGAGAGAGGAGAGTTGTCACAGGGCCTGAAATGCATTTGCTCTGTGGAGAGTCAGAGGGAACAGACACGTGGCTCGTCTGGGGCAGCACAGCCCCCGCCAGCCCCCGTGGCCCGGCTCCTACTGTCAGGAACACACGCACTTTCTCCAGCCAGGAGGAGCGTCACCTTTCACGTCATCCCTTTTCCATTTTTAAATTTGTCTACAAAAATGCAATGTCATTTTAATGAGGCAGAATGAAAGTAACTGAGAGGGCGTGAGTCCGTGCCTCTGTCGGGAGCCGTGCGGCGGGGTGGGGTGGCCCGCACAGGGTGGGCACGGGGGCTCACGGCCGTCCTGCAGCCCCCTTCAGGTGTGTGCTGGACACCAGGCGCCATCCCCCCGGGGAGCCTGGAGTCGGTCAGTCGTGTGTGGTGAGCCGTGGGGTTGGTTTGGGACTGTGGCCGGGGCAGGACTGGCGCGGAGGGTGAGCTTGTGACCGCCCTGGAGGGGCTGGCACGCTGTGCCTAGGGGTGGCGGGCAAGGTGTGAACGCAGGCACACCATATGGCCCGAGCTGCTGACAGACCAGCCCTCGGGCTCCCACTCACCCTCACACCTTGATCGTGTTGGACGTCAGGGTGGGGGCTCTGGCAGAAGCCATCTGGGTCCTCTCCTTTCCCCCCATTCTGTTGCTTAAACACTGCACATTGGCGGAGCAGCCTGAGGGACCCAGTCCCCAGAGCGCCCAGGCCAGGCGGCTGCTCCCACCTGCAGGCTTCTCGCTGGACCCAGGGCCAACCTCCCACGTTTCCTGTGCTGGGGCTGGAGGTTGGATACTCTGCTATGCCAGGTGGCTGCTTGACCAGGTCCAAGGAGGTCCCTGGGGCTCCCAGACCTCAAACCCGCAGCAACCAACAGCTCGGGGGTAAGGCCCTGGGTCTGCATGAGCCAGACCTGTGGCTCTGAGAGCCCGAGACGCTGCCCCGGTCCCTGTGCGTCTGCTGAGCTGACCACTTGCAGCCCTTCAGCCTTTACACCCCAGAGTGACCGGCTTCAGCCCTGTCCTCTGAGGGCGGCCCAGGTGGTTCTGATGGCTGGAGCTGCCTGTTCCCACGAGGCTTTAGAGACAGAGCTTCACCGATGACGTGGTCACGTGCGTGAAGCAAGGGCCCTCCCAGCCTGGGCTTCCCCGGCGGGTACTGTCCCAGGGCCCCCGGACTCGTGGTTCAAAGTTGCCTGTTCGGTTCCCAGACTTCACGGAACAATGAGCTCACATGTGGAACTTCGGTCTGCACATGAAACTGTGCAATTTCTCACACATTCTACCCTGGCCTACGTCTGTGCGGCCAAGACAGGGACTTGACATCGGGAGGACTTAGGACATTGTTTTCTTTGAGGCTGGACCACCACCTACAGCACAGACACATTTGACACTGTTGTGTCAACTGCTGTGCCTGGGGATGTACTGACCCATTTTCCCCATCAATGTGCCTGTGGGTACACAGTACGGCCCCCTTCTCCAGGCAGGCACTGACGCTGGGGGGCAGTTAGCTTCCCACAGGGGAGGTCCAGCCCGGGCACTGCCCCCAGGGGCAGTCTGCCCCCAGGGCTCCCGGAGGTGCTCTCCGGCTGCCTCCAGCCTTATTTTCCGTCCCAACGTCGAGATCCCTCACCTGCTTCTGCAACGCAGCTTCATCTCCTGCAGCTGAGTCCATTTTCTTCTCATTCAAGGCCCTGTGCCGATGCCCCGGGTCTCCCGTGGGCCTCTCTGGCTTTGAGGTCGCTCTCCCAGGTGTCTCCTCCTTGAGCCCCCAGTCCTGGCAGCTCCCTTGGGACACCGCCTCTGCCTCACACCTGCCTGCTCCCTGTCAGGGGCACCTGCGGGCGGGTCGGGCTTCCCTGGCAGGGGCCCGATGTGGGTGCTGCCCCGAGTTCTAGTGCTGGGCCGGACATGCCAGGGATGCTTCTCAGTGTTGGCTCTGGGGTTGGAAGGAAATTGACGTGAGCAGAAAAGCTACTGAAAGGCCCCCCTGAGAGCTTCACTTCTGAGTGTCTGGTCCACTGTCTGCTCCTGGAGGTGTGTCCACTGGGGGAAGCCGAGCGTGGGATCCAGACGGAGGAGCTGCTCCTGCTCTCCCTCCGACGTCCAATTCTGGGGTG